GTCAAGAAAACAGCACTTGGCCGAGCGCAGTGCCTCACGCCTGTAATCCTAGCACTTTGGAAGGCCGAGGGCAGATCATGAGGTCAGGAGATCGAGACCATCCTGGCTAACACGGTGAAACCCCATCCCTACTAAAAAACACACACAAAAAAATTAGCCGACCATGATGGCGGGCACCTGTAGTCCCAGCTACTCAGGAGGCTGAGGCAGGAGAATGGCGTGAACCTGGGAGGTGGAGCTTGCAGTCAGCCGAGTTCGTGCCACTGCACTCCAGCCTGGGTGACAGAGCCAGACTCCATCTCAAAAAAAAAAAAAAAGAAGAAAACAGCAATGAAAGAACTATTTCAGGGCATGGAACTGCAGGTGAAAAAGAATCAAAAAATGGGAGTGAAAATAAGGACTCCAAGATGACTCAGATGTTAAACTGCAGACAAAGATTTTAATACAGCTCTTTCAAGTACATGTATTCATGGATAACATTTATGTTTCTAATACATTGAAATTAAGGAGAAATCACAACAGAGAGAGAAGAAATGTTTTTTAAAATGGAAACTCTAGAATACAGCATCTAAAATATTCACTAGACAGTCCTATCACACTGGGGACAGCAAAAGAAAAGTAAGGTGAACTTAAAGATGAACCCAAATCCACAGAAACTATCCTATCTGGAGAACAAAAGCAACAAAAACAGGTTGAAGAAAAATGAACAGAATCTCAGTGACATCAATCAGTCCAACATACAAAATTGGAATATCAAAAAAAGAAAGGAGAAAAGAGGGCAGAAAAAATTTTTGGCAAGCATCTGGAAATTCCCCAAATGCAGTGAAGAATATCAACATACAGAGCCAAGAAGTTTAGTATTTCCCATGTTTGATAAGTAAAACCATACTAGACACACCATAGCCAACCTACTGGAAACCAAAAATAAAACATCTTGACAGCAGGCAAAGAAAAAGGACACATACATAGGAGAACAACCATATGAATGATGGTGAACATCTCATCAGAAATAAGAGTCCAGAACGTATCTTAAAAGAATGGAAAATAATTTTAGCTGTCATCCCTGCATTCTGTATCCATGGAAAATACCCATCACAAATGCTGAGCAGAGTGGCTCATGTCTGTAGTCTCAACACTTTGAGAGGCCTTAGTCGGGGGATCGCTTGCCCTCAGGAGTTAAGAGACCAACCTGGATGACACAGCAAAACTCCTTCTCTACTGAAAAATAGAAAAATTAGCTGGGCGTGGTGGCATGCACCTATAGTTGCAGCTAATTGGGGCAGGGGGTGGGTGCTGAGGCGGAGGAGGCTGCAGTGAATTGAGACTGTACCACTGCACTCCAGCCTGGGTGATACAGCAAGACCCTGTCTCAAAAAAACAAACAAACAAAAAAGAGTGTGAAATATCAGACATTTTTAGTTAAGGAAAAACTAAGAATTCTTTGCTGGTTGGTAGTGTAACAAACACTAATGGAAGTCCCTTAGGCTGAAGGGAACTGATACCAGTTATTGTCAGGCATAGAAATCACAATTGAAACAGAATGAATCACTGCCTCTTAATGAAATCATCAATAAATTAGGAAACAGGTGGATAAACATTATCCACTTAAGGCCTCTTTCCTGCAACGTAATCACTTCTAAGTTACAGAACTTTAGAAATGAAGAGCATGGGCCGGGCGCGGTGGCTCAAGCCTGTAATCCCAGCACTTTGGGAGGCCGAGACGGGCGGATCACAAGGTCAGGAGATCGAAACCATCCTGGCTAACACGGTGAAACCCCGTCTCTATTAAGAAATACAAAAAACTAGCCGGGCGAGGTGGCGGGCACCTGTAGTCCCAGCTACTCGGGAGGCTGAGGCCGGAGAATGGCGTGAACCCGGGAGGCGGAGCTTGCAGTGAGCTGAGATCCGGCCACTGCACTCCAGCCTGGGCGACAGAGCGAGACTCCGTCTCAAAAAAAAAAAAAAAAAAAAAAAAAAAAAGAAATGAAGAGCATGGACACTACAAAGAAACAAACCAGAACCTTACAGGTTGGCCTGACATACTCAAGATACAACCGCTGATGGCAGAAAGCACCACCAGGATTGGAGTATAGCATTCCTTGCTTCTGCACCTGTCTTTCCAGGTGTTAGGTCATTTGATTTTAATAAATGGTATAAAAGTTAATGTGAATTTTCTTGCAACTTACGTTGCTATGGGATGGCGCATCAAAAGAAGCATAAAGAAAAACTAAAATGGCAGAGAAAAACATTACTTAAAATAAAATATTTGTGTTTTTACTACTATACCTGAGACCCCCAGCACAAGCAATAGAAATAAGAAATGAAGGTATAAGGAATAATCAAAATAGTGATTACCTGCAGACATTAAAACATTTTAAAAAATCAGTAAGATATCAAGAAAAAGCAACCAACATGATTTTAAAGCAGTAAAAATGACTTAACACTGAAATACATAATAGTTACCATAATAATGAATAACGTAGACTAAAACAGCCAACTGTCCCCAATTTAACCAATAAATTGAATAGAATTTCATTAAGTCCATTATAGATTTTGTTTGGTTGTTTGTTGGAACTAGACAAATATTCTAAAGTTGTGTGAAAATGTAATGATCTAAGAAGAGCCAAGGCAATCCTGAAAAATAAGGTCAAGGACAAAGAACTAGCAGAAGTAAATAAGGATATTGTAAAATGATGATAATTAAAACAGTGATATCTGGCCAGGCAAGGTGGCTCACACCTGTAATCCCAGCACTTTGGGAGGCCGAGGTGGGTGGATCACTTGAGGTCAGGAGTTCGAGAGCAGCTTGGTAAACATGGCGAAACCCCGTCTCTACTAAAAATACAAAAATTAGCTGGGCGTGGTATCAGGCGCCCGTAATCCCAGCTACGCCGGAGGGTGAGGCAAGAGAATCACTTGAACCCAGGAGGAGGAGGTTGCAGTGAGCTGAGATCGTGCCACTGCACTCCAGCCTGGGCGGTAAGAGTGAAACGCCATCTCAAAAATAAATAAAGAAAATAAAAATAAATAACATAGAACAGTGATATCCAGGAATGCAATCACAGTGTGGTGGCTCACATCTGTAATCCCAGCACTTTGGGAGGCTGAGATGGAAGGATTGTTCAGTTTGAGACCAGCCTGGGCAACATAGTGAGACCCCAACTCTACCAAAAATTTAAAAATTAGCCAGGCAAGATGGTGTGCACCTGTGGTCCCAGCTACTTGGGAGGCTGAGGTGGGACTATCACTTGAGCCTGAGGGGTTGAGGCAGCAGTGAGCTGTGATCATATGCCACTGCACTTGAGCCTAGGTGACAGAGAGAAAGAAACCCCAGTCTCAAAAACAAAACAAAACAGCCATATTGGTTCAGGGAAGCAGAACTCAAAGAAAACAAAGAATCTGAAACAAATCTCATAGCTGTGCCATTACACACAAGTTGCAGAAGACTAGAAATGACAAAAAATAAAGTGTTGAGATAAAAGTCTGTCCATATATGGGAAAAAGATAGAACTAGATTCTTATCTTATCTTATACTATATATAAAATTAATTCCAGATATACCAAAGACCCACTTCTGAAATACTTTAAAACTTTAAAGCTATTAAGATGACTCAGGAGAATATCTTTATAAAAGCCTCAAAGCAGGGAAAGATAAAAGGGAGAAGAACATCATAGACAGAGGAAGTAGAATGACAACTAGAAAATAGCCTCATCTGTAATATGGAAACTAATAATCCCACCTATTTCACAGCAATAATGAGATTTAAATATGATAAGTTCTTAGAACCTCTTAATAAATCTAAGTCACTGTTATCCTAGTTCTTCCACTTACTAGTTATGTGAAACTGGGGAGGTTACCCTCGTGTCTTATTATCCTCACTAGTAAACTGAAGAAAACATTAGGTTTTCTTCATTAGGTTCTTGTAAGGATTAAGTGAGTCAATACATGTAAAGTGCTTAAAACAGAAAGTGACACACAGTAAGAGTTCAACACAGAGGAATTAGTAAGAATAATGTATTACATTTACAAATAAGAATAACTACAGCACACAGGGAATGAGGATCAAGTCAAACTAAGTGTATGTTACTGGATTATAGTTTAGAACACTAGCTCTGGTAGCAATGTGAAGAACAGATCGTTAAGGGGGGAAAAAGTTGTTAACACAGCAGTTAAGAGGCTACTCCAAGTGTTCAAGCCTAAACAATGGGAGATTTTTGGAAAGCATTTTCACAGGACCTGAGAACAGACCAGACATATAAAGACAGTGATCAAGTGTCATCAGTGACAATGCCTAGGTTCCCAAATGGTTGTATGTTAACGTAGTGATGCAGTTAATTGAGATAAGGTTGAAAGTACTGTGAATATTTCTCATCTCTGTTACTGAAAATTATTCCTATTGCTCATTTTGAGATCTGGAATTATCTCATATGTTGTAAATCAGCATCTAATTAAAATTCACGCTATTTGAAGTTACCCCTTTGTAAAGAATTGCTGTAGACAAAGTATTTTTAAGATTTATCAAAGAATTTTCTGAAGTAGCACATAATAGAAGCCAGAAATTTGTTTTTGTTGTTGCTGCTGTTGTTTTTGAGACAAGGTCTTGCTCTGTCGCCCAGGCTGGACTGGAGAGGTACAATCTCTGCTCACTGCAACCTATGCCTCCCGGGTTGAAGCAATTCTCCTGCCTCAGCCTCTCAAGTAGCTGGAATTACAGGCATGTGCCACCACACCCGGCTATTTTTTTCTATTTTTAGTAGAGACAAGGTTTCATCATATTGGCAAGGCTGGTCTCAAACTCCTGGCATCAAACAATCTGCCTGCCTTGGACTCACAAAGTGCTGGGATTACAGGCGTGAGCCACCACGCCCAGCCCAAGTCAGATACTTTTTAAAAGTCACTATGGGTTTTTATAAAACATTATCTGTCTGTATTTTTAAAATTCTCATACAGAAAAACCAAAACCTGTTCTGGTTTCACACTGATCTCCTCTATTTCTTACCATAATTGGCTTGCCCTGAAATGTTTTAACTTCTTCTCTTAAGTATTTAAAAGCCTGTTAACAAAGCACAAGAAAACTTTCATTAGCATCCAAACATTTCAGTAAAGTCATCTTTATTATGTTGAGAGTTTAGTATTAAACTATAAAAACAAAATTATGTAGGTGATTCCACTGTGCAGGTAGACAGGGATGAAAAAGTAAAAATATAAGGCCTTCTCAACCACAGTTCATATTTATTGTAGAAAAGCCACCATGGATTACTGCAGAAAAAATGCCTTAAGATTGAAAACAGACCCAAAATATCCCCAGAAACCAATTTAAAAATGATCAGACAACTTTCTACTAAATTGTTTTAAAAAACAAAAATCTGTGAGTGATTTTTTTTTTTATTCTTTTTTTTTTTTTTTTTTTTTGAGACGGAGTCTCGCTCTGTCGCCCAGGCTGGAGTGCAGTGGCGCGATCTCGGCTCACTGCAAGCTCCGCCTCCCGGGTTCACGCCATTCTCCTGCCTCAGCCTCCCGAGTAGCTGGGACTACAGGCGCCCGCCACCACGCCCGGCTAATTTTTTGTATTTTTAGTAGAGACGGGGTTTCACCGTGGTCTCGATCTCCTGACCTTGTGATCCGCCCGCCTCGGCCTCCCAAAGCGCTGGGATTACAGGCGTGAGCCACCGCGCCCGGCCCTGTGAGTGATTTTTAAACACTCTTATCATAGATATATTTGTGTTTTAAAGGATTATTTCTCTTTAAGACATGTTAACAATTAAGAATAAAATCATCAAGTCAAAATTCCAAGAATTTTATTTATTGCAGACCTATTATGTACTAAAAATACCACTGGGTACATAGTTCTCAATCCCTATGTTAATTTTAAAACTGTTACGTTAACATTCTTGTCGACCAGAAAACTTCCTAAATCAAAACTGAAAAACTTTAGGAAGATGATCAAAAAGGACATCAATTGAGCAAAAGCAAAAAGGTAAATCAAGGTACTCACTAATCTTGATAAACATCAGTGTAAACACACATTTTCTCAATTAAAATATACCACTACTTATTTTGCCACTAGGATGGACCTGTATCAGAAAACTGTTTTCTTCTTACCTGTTGTGCATCTGTGTCTGACTGGAAAGTGATATACCAGTTGCTATTGTGTGCAAATTCACAGCTTATCACTTTGGGGCAGTTTTCACTTTTGAACAAAGCTTTCACTTCCTAAAAAGAAAAAGAAAATTAGTTAACTCTAAAAAATACATCAATAAATGGCATTTTTTGCTTGTTTATTTACTAGTAATGTTAAGCATATCTTCATGTTTTTGGTCCTTTCTATCACTTCACTTGTTAACTTTTGCCCATTTTTCTACTGAGGATAGGCTGTGTTCCAAAACAAATAGAGTTAATAGGAGATATATTTGAGTCTGGTCTCAAACTCCTGGATGCAAGCGATCCTTCCACCTGAGCACCCCAAAGTGGTGAGATTATAGGCACGAGCCACTCCATTTGGCCAGGAGATGTATTTTGTACATGATTTTGGGATGATTTATTTTACGATCAGCAAAGCATAAGTATTTCACTTCCACTGGCAAGCTAAACGCTCCTTATAGTGAAATCTCCCCTGTCCTTTTCCTGTCTGGCCTGCCACAGGACAAGTGATATCCTTCATTAACATTTTCTAGGCAATAAAAATTTTCATGCATTCTCATTTAATCCAGATGCTTTGCTTACAACATACATGTGAGTTAATGTGCAAACATATCTTCCTTTTTCCATAATTAGTATAAATGTAAACAGAAACCCTGACAGCTACATGGATTCAGAAAAAGGGTGACTACAAAACTTAAAATGGTAAAACTGTTAATGGATTGAAAGAAGATTAAAAAAAAAAGTTAAGTGAACATTAAGTATACTTAAGAAGTAACAGGCCAGGCACGATGGCTCAGGCCTGTCATCCCAGCAATTTGGGAGGCCGACGCGGGCGGATCACAAGGTCAGGAGATCGAGACCATCCTGGCTAACACGGTGAAACCCCCGTCTCTACTAAAAATACAAAAAATTAGCCAGGCGTGGTGGCGGGCGCCTGTAGTCCCAGCTACTCGGGAGGCTGAGGCAGGAGAATGGTGTGAACCCGGGAGGCAGAGCTTGCAGTGAGCCAAGATCACGCCACTGCACTCCAGCCTGGGCGACAGAGCAAGACTCTGTCTCAAAAAAAAAAAAAAAAAAAAGTAACAGAAGGAAAGAAAATATCTACTGAAATAGCAAAGGTCAAATGCAGCCCGAGAGCTCAGTGGCTCACTTCTGTAATCTCAGCACTTTGGGAGACTGAGGCAGGAGAATTGCTTGAGTTCAGGACGAGCCTAGACAACACAGCCAGACACTGTCTTTCAAAAAAAAAGTAAAAATTGGCTGGGCATGGTGGCTGGCTCCTGTAGTCACAGCTACTTGGGAGGCTGAGGTAGGAGAGGACTGCTTGAGCCAAGGAGTTTGAGGCTGCAATGAACTATGATCGTACCACTTGTACTACACCCTTAGTGACACGGCAAGACCCTGTCACAGAAAACCATTGATTGAGGAAAAACTTCTTTTTTAACATGAAAAAAAAATTTAAAAGCAAAAAACAAAAAACTTGAAAACCCAACAAAACATTTGGCGCCTTGTTTTACTGTTTTTCATGTGTATGAACTCCTTATGTATTCAGAATATGAATTATAATAACCGTAAAAAAGATAATGAAATAGGACACAATGGCTCACGGCTGTAATGCCAACACTTTGGGAGGCCAAGGTGCACAGACTGCTTGAGCCCAGGGCCTTGAGAACAGCCTGGGTAACATGGCAAAACCCCATCTCTACAAAAAAGTACAAAAATTAGCCAGGAATGGCGGCATGCGCCAGTAGTCCCAACCACTCAGGAGGCTGAGGTGAGAGGATTGCTTGAGCCCATGAGGTCAAGGCTACAGTAAGCTGTGACTGTGCCACTGCACTTCACCCTGGGTGACAGACTGAAACCCTGTCTCAAAAAATAAAATAAAATAAAATAAAATAAAATTCTATTCTAAATAGCCAATCAATTACAACGTCAGTTACTAACTAATCCTCATCTTCTTTAATATATATCACCTTATCGTGGCAACTTAATATGAAGCTCTGTGACACAGTGATTATGAAACATGGACTTTAGAATCAGAGAGATTATGTTCAAACCCAAACTCCTGTCATTTAAGAGCCCTTATGTCCTTGAGCAAACTATGCAACCAGCCTAACTATCAGTTACTTCATCAGTAAAACAGATAATAAAACCTTTGGCTTTAAATAACTGCAAAGTAATAACTGGTAGAATCTAACTGTCAAATTGATTACAATGTTTCATCCAAATATTATTTTATTCTGGTATGTGTACCATACCATCTTTATGACTGCAACTTTGCTTTATATAATATTTTGCTGAACAATAGGGTTAGTCCTGCCGCCTTTTTTTTTTTTTTTTTTTTTTTTGAGACGGAGTCTCACGCTGTTGCCCAGGCTGGAGTGCAGTGGCGCGATCTCGGCTCACTGCAAGCTCCGCCTCCCGGGTTCACACCATTCTCCTGCCTCAGCCTCCTGAGTAGCTGGGACTACAGGCGCCCGCCACCGCGCCCGGCTAATTTTTTGTATTTTTAGTAGAGACGGGGTTTCACTGTGGTCTCGATCTCCTGACCTTGTGATCCGCCCGCCTCGGCCTCCCAAAGTGCTGGGATTACAGGCTTGAGCCACCGCGCCCGGCCCCTGCCGCCTTAACCCCTTTTTATTTTTGAGACAGAGTCTCGTTCTGTAGCCCAGGCTGGAGTGCAGTGGCGCGATCTCAGCTCACTACAAGCTCCCAGGTTCACACCATTCTCCAGCCTCGGCCTCCCAAGTAGCTGGAACTATAGGGGCCCACCACCACGCCCAGCTAATTTTTTGATTTTTAGTAGAGACGGGGTTTCACCATGTTAGCCAGGATGGTCTCGATCTCCCAACCTCGTGATCCACCCGCCTCAGCCTCCCAAAGTGCTGCGATTACAGGTGTGAGCCACTGCACCCAGCCTTGCCTCCTGAATCCTTAATCAAAATCTAGTTATTCATTCTTACAGATGAATTCTCAAGTTCCCAAAATAGCCTATTTATACATTAGTTGCCACTGAATCAGTCTAGTAAATTCAGAATGTTTCACTGCAACACTTTGTCTACCCTTCTAAGAAAACAGAATTATATCTTTTCCTTCCCCTATACCATACTAGTACTTCAGAATTAATGAAACAAATTAATATTTAACCTTTTCACAGTAACTGATGAAGGCACTGGCTTACGCTTTGCTTGTGTACCTCTTTCAATTTCTTTTCTTTGCCACGGAAAGCAGAAGAACCTCTTTCAATTTAAACAGAGAACATTTAGCGTTAACAATTAATAATTTACCTCTATTGGTGTTGTTTCAGGAATCTCTCTAAGAATTACAATACAACGCTTATGACTTGGTCTCACTTTCTCACCCTTCTCATCAACTTGCACCATGGGAGAAGCTGAAATTTAAAAGAAAGGGTATCATTCAAAAGTGACAAATAATGATATTATTAATGTTATTAAAAAACTATTCATTTTAATTTCCAGCTGAGTAAATTTGCAGAGGCTGGGTTAACATCTTAAAGAAACTAAGTTGTAGAATCAAAGATTATAGGTATGACAATTTTTTTGGAGATTTATATGTGAAGACCACTGTCAAATGTTATTCACTGAAAAAAATATCCAGAGTACTTACTCTAACTTTGGCACTGCCTTCAGGGAGCATACAACATATATCTAGTAAGGCAAATTTCTTGTATATAATAACCAAATTCTTCATTGAGGAGATAACAAATGAATGTTAACAGAAATTAGTGTACTTTCATTGGCAAAACACTATGCTGAGGAATGTAATGAAATCTGGTATGTGAAGAAATTCTTCCTAAGATTAAAGTTCAAGAAGCCCTTAAACCAAGAACTATACTCAAATTATAAGCTATCCAGGATGTCAACTTACTTAATCTTGCATACTAGTACAGAGTCCCAAAAGCCATCTTTTAAACGCTGATTAGGAGGAAATATTATACTAAATATAGTAGCAAATAGCCAAAACTTTTATTTCTAGTCCCTTCATGGAGTTAATATACCAGATCTCCATAAGCAGGCAAGTAGACAGAATAAAACAAGCAGTTAAGGGTGATGGCATGCCAAGTTCCAACCTAAACAGGTGGGAGATTCTGCCTCTCTTTGCCAACTTTTAATGTAGACAAGACTGGGTCATTTTAAGAAACGATGTACCTACAAACCAATCAGAGATTCCATAAATGTTTGTAATCCTCTGGAAATGGAAATCTATTCCAATGTAAGTCTATTATCAGACTTGCTATATTTAACTTCTAAACATTTTCAGAAACACATCTCTCATAAAAGTGAAGATCTGCCTTATTCAGTGAAATAGTTAACAAAACCCACTCTTAAGAGGTTACCAAGCCGGGCGCGGTGGCTCACGCCTGTAATCCCATCACTTTGGGAGGCCGAGGCGGGCGGATCACAAGGTCAGGAGATCGAGACCACAGTGAAACCCCGTCTCTACTAAAAATACAAAAAATTAGCCGGGCTCGGTTGTGGGCGCCTGTAGTCCCAGCTACTCGGGAGGCTGAGGCAGGAGAATGGCGTGAACCCGGGAGGCGGAGCTTGCAGTGAGCCGAGATCGCGCCACTGCACTCCAGCCTGGGCTGGGCGACAGAGCGAGACTCCGTCTCAAAAAAAAAAAAAAAAAAAAAAAAGAGGTTACCAAATACTGAACCAAGAACTACATACAAGACATAAAATCCAGCAAAAAAAAAATTTTTTTTTTTGAGACGGAGTCTCGCTCTGTTGCCCCCAGTGGCGCGATCTCGGCTCACTGCAAGCTCCGCTTCCCAGGTTCAGGCCATTCTCCCGCCTCAGCCTCCCGAGTAGCTGGGACTACAGGCGACCGCCACCACGCCCGGCTAATTTCTTTTTTTTGTATTTTTAGTAGAGGCGGGGTTTCACCGTGTTAGCCAGGATGGTCTCGATCTCCTGACTTGGTGATCTGCCCGCCTCGGCCTCCCAAAGTGCTAGGATTACAGGCTTGAGCCACCACGCACGGCCAAAAATTCTTAAAGCTTCAATCAAGAAATAAAAATTCGGCCGGGCACAGTGGCTCACGCCTGTAATCCCAGCACTTTGGGAGGCCGAGGCGGGCGGATCACGAGGTCAGGAGATCAAGACCATCCTGGCTAACACGGTGAAACCCCGTCTCTACTAAAAATACAAAAAATTAGCCGGGCATGGTGGCGAGCGCCTGTAATCCCAGCCACTGGGAGGCTGAGGCAGGAGAATGGCATGAACCCAGGAGGCGGAGCTTGCAGTGAGCCCAGATCGCACCACTGCACTCCTGCCTGGGCAACAGGGCGAGACTCCATCTCAAAAAAAAAAAAAAAAAAGAAATAAAAATTCATTACCAAATTTCAGAGCAGTATTTGTCAAACTGCCCATAGCAACTCATTAGTAGGTTGTAAAATTAGAAACAAGTTTGTTACAAATATTTCAGTCGGGTGGAGGTACATGGTGTGTACTGAACTGTGATGAAAAATGTACTTCATTGCTTATACTTCTTAAGTGGGCATGATGATAAACAACCAAGGTGCAGAATTGTTACAGAAGCTGTATATAGGCTGGGTGTGGTGGCTTACGCCTGTAATCCCAACATTTTGGGAGGCTGAGCGGGGTATACATGTACACACACACACACACACGCATACACACACACACACACACGCATATACACACACACACACACACACACACGTCAGTAAAAACAAAGACAAGGCTTGGGAGGCCAAGGTGGGAGGACTGACTCAGCCAATGAACTTAAGACCAGCCTGGGGAACATACCAAGACCCCACCTCTATAAAAAAAATTTAAAGATTAGCCAGATGTGGTGGCGTGTGCCTGGGGTCCCAGTAACTTGGAGGGCTAAGAGGTAGAAGGATGGCTTGAGCCCAGGAGTTTGAAGTTGCAGTGAGCTGCGATTTGCACCACCACACTCCCGCTTGAGTGATAGAGTGAGACCCTGTCCTTCACCACTACCCCTGAAAACAAAAAACAAAGAGAGATAATTTGGAACAAAACAACAAAATAAGGTGGTGGTGGGGGCAGTAAAATATAATTATCTATATGACCAGAAGTCAAAATAACATTTAACGTTTAAAATTAAAACAAAAAAGCTAAAAGGTATTTTTACATACATCTTAACACTTCAAGAATTAGATCATGGTCTGTAGTCAACTTTTTTATTTCTTCCATGTTGGCAACTGTCCAAATTGGGATGAACTGATCACTATCCATTTGAGATATCAAGTAAAGATCCTTTGACAAATTTTCTCTGAAAAGAACAAACAAAATAGTCCTATAAAACAAGCAATTATTAAAAAGCACCTAACGAGAAGAGGTATCTTACTCCTTTTCTCTACTTTTTAAATGCATGGAAATAAGATTATTTTATCAGAAATAACACTAAACTTTTCAATGAACTCTAAAAAGTTGTTAAAAGTGTTCAATTCAAAACATATTAGTGTAATATATATACACATTAGTTAATATAACTTTTACAGTATCTCAATTCCCAAACACATCCAGCACAATATTGGACAATTATACTGATATATAAAGAGGTTTAATATTACAAGTAGCATTTTAACAAAACATTACATATAGCAGAGTTCCATCTTATAAATACTTCAGTGATATTAGAATATGCATGATAAAAACTGTAGCTGAACTGTGAATTGACTCAAGAAGGATTTTCTTTTTTCTTTTTTTTTTTCTGAGACAGAGTCTCACTCTGTCGCCCAGGCTGGAGTGCGGTGGCGATCTCGGCTCACTGCAAGCTCCGCCTCCCGGGTTCATGCCATTCTCCTGCCTCAGCCTCCCGAGTAGCTGGGACTAAAGGCGCCCGTCATCTTGCCCGGTTAATTTTTTGTATTTTTAGTAGAGACAGGGTTCCACTGTGTTAGCCAGGATGGTCTTGATCTCCTGACCTCGTGATCTGTCTGCCTCAGCCTCCCAAAGTGCTGGCATTACAGGCGTGAGCCACTGCGCCCGGCCGGATTTTCCATTTCTTAATGTGTGCATTTTGTTGTTGTTGTTGTTGAGGGGGAGTTTTGTTCTTGTTGCCCAGGCTGGAGTGCAATGGCGCGATCTCGGCACGCTGCAACCTCTGCCACCTGGAGTCAAGCAATTTTCCCGCCTCGGCCTCGCAAATAGCTGGGATTACAAGCATAAATCACCACGCCCGGCTAATTTTTTGTATTTAGGAGAGATTGTGTTTCCCATGTTGGCCAGGCTGGTCTCAAACTCCTAACCTCAGGTGATCCACCCACCTCGGCCTCCCAAAGTGCTGGGATTACAGGCGTGAGCCACTGCACCCTGGCCAAAATATATATTTTAAATTATGCAAGTCAAACACGCTTATATAAATGCACACCTTGGCTGGGCACAGTGGCTCATGCCTGTAATCCTAGCACTTTGGGATGCCGAGGCGGGTGGATGATTAGAGGTCAAGAGCTCAAGACCAACCTGGCCAACATAGTGAAACTCCGTCTCCACTAAAAATACAAAAAATTAGCTGCGCTTGGTGGTGGGTGCTACTCGGAGGGCTGGGGCAGGAGAATCACTTGAACCTGGGAGGCAGAGGTGGTAGTGAGCCGAGATCGCACCATTGCACTTCAGTCGGGTCAACAAGAGTGAAACTCCATCTCAAAACATAAACAAACAAAATGAAAAAGATGCAAACACTTGCATCTTACACATAAAATCTTGTTTAATAAACTTAGGTAAAATCAAATTCACACTTTGCTATTCACATCAAATATTCTTTGAAGCAGTCTGGCTATAAATAGCTGGAAGTTTTTGCTTATAAGCCCTCTTCTCAAAAAGTACTGTACTGATCACCCTATTTAAAACTGCAACCACCCCAACATTCCTGATTCCTCTCCTTGCATTCAATTTTCTTCCCACAGCACTTATCTCCTAACATACTTCTGAGTTGCTTATTTATTATGTTTGTTTTGTGCTCTTGCAGTCAGAATATAGGTTCTGACTGCAAGAACCTATAAGCGAAGGATCTTTTGTTGTTCAATCAATAATGTATTTCAACTGCCTAGTGCCTGGCAAGGAGCAGGCTCAAAGGCGCTTACATTCAAATTCTATTAAAATAAAGGCCAGGGGCGGGGGCTCACGCCTGTAAACCCAGCACTTCGGGAGGCCAAGGTGGGTGGATCACCTGATATCAGTTTGAGACTAGCCTGGCCAACATGATAAAACCCCATCTCTATTAAAAATACAAAACGTAGCCAGGTACGGTGGTGCGTGCCTGTATTCCCAGCTATTTGGGAGGCTGAGGCAGAAAAATCGCCCCGGGAGGTAGAGGTTGCAGTGAGCCGAGATCGTGCCACTGCACTCCAGCCTGGGCGACAGAGTGAGACTCCATCTCCAAAAAAACAAAAAAATTCCTTAAGAATCTGAAAATAAGACAACCATAAACATGATCTTTGCAAAACTAAAAAGCTGTAGCCTAAATGAACTCTGAAATTTAGCGGGTCTATTCTTAAACAATGACTCAAAATTCTTAAAGAAACTGTACCTTGTCAGAAGTAAATAGATATAACATCTACGATTTGATTATTCACGAGTAATACCTGATATGTATTAATGGCAATTGTGCTGAGCCACAAATGTCAATTACCCAGCTGGCTGGAACTATATCACAGTCCTGAGTAGGAATGTGAGGGATCATGACAAGTAGGAGCTCCCACTGCAAAAGCTCCCACTTTTTAAAACATTTTTAGTTAAAAAAGCTGGGATAAACTACAAAAAAAAAAAAAAAAGATCATGTTTTTGGAGATCTGGGAAAGTTGTAGAAGCTTCAAGCACAAAATGACTAAAATGCCCCAAAGAAGATCTTTCCTTCCTGAGAGCATTTGCAGATCTTGACTCAGATTCTACTGGACGATAGAGAAACCAGCAGATCTCTAGGCAGTTGTGTATAAGTATGTGGTATGTGTAATGGGCATAGAACTAGAATTATGAATGGAAATTATGGGAGCCACCAATACAGCTGATTTTCCCCATAAGATGGTTCCTGAGTTTTAAGGAGGAAGATGGGAGATTGGAAGTCAGGCTGAAAAGACAGTAAAATCTACGTGGTCTCGTGAGTAAGTCTGAGTGCAAGCAAAAATGCTGAAAACGCAGGTCGCCCCCATAAGACACTGCCAGATTTTCTTTTTTTTTTTTGAGACGAAGTCTTGCTCTTGTCCCCCAGTCTGGAGTGCAATGGCGTGATCTTGGCTCACTGCAACCTCCACCTCCTGGGTTCAAGCGATTCTCCTGCCTCAGCCTCCTGAGTAGCTGGGATTATAGGTGCGTACCAACATGCCCAGCTAATTTTTTGTATTTTAAGTAGAGATGGAGTTTCATCTTGTTGGCCAGGCTGATCCTGAACTCCTGACCTCCGGTGATCCGCCCGCCGTGGCCTCCCAAAGTGCTGGGATTACAGGCGTGCACCACCGTGCCCAGCCAAGACACTGCCAGATTTTCAAGCACTATGGGGTAGGAAGTTAAAGAGCTAAATCTCAAACCTCTGCATTACAGATCTAAATCTCCTTGGTTTTGTAAGATTAGGGTGACACAAAACTGCCAAGCTCTGAATCAAAAGCCTGAAAGGGCCATGTAGAAGGAATAGAGCTAAATCAAAGGTGAACTGAGTCTAATTAAAATTGTTGCTCAGCCCCGACCTAGCTCAATTTCTGATTGGATTGAAGCAATCAACATTTCACTCTCTGCCTAACAGAAGAAAAGCTCAAACTCTGTCTAGAGTTGTATTACCTGCATCTTCCATGGTTCTGTTGTATGTAATGTACAGCATAAAATCAACATTTACAAGACATACAAAAAGGCAGTAAATTATGACAGATAATTCAAGAGTAGAAACCCAGACAATAGAAACAGACCCATAAATGATCTAGTTAGTAGGTAAAATTCACCCAGGCTGAAGTGCAGTGGTGCAATCTCAGCTTACTGCAAACTCCACCTCCTGGGTTCAAGCAATTCTCCTGCCTCAGCCTCCAGTAGCTGGGACTACAGGGGCAAGCTACCACACTCCGCTAATTTTTGTATTTTCAGTAGAGACGGGGTTTTGCCATACTGGCCAGGCTGGTCTTGAACTCCTGACCTCAGGTGATCCACCTACTTCGGCCTCCCAAAGTGCAGGCTAAAGTAAATATTACGTGAATGTTTTTGTTTCTTTGTTTTTGAAGTGGAGTCTCGCTCTTGTTGCCCAGGCTGGAGCCCAGGAATAATTTCAGCTCACTGTAACCTCCACCTCCCAGGTTCAAGCAATTCTTCTGCTGCCGCCTCTCAAGTAGTTGGGATTACAGGCACCCACCACCACACCCGGCTAATTTTTAATTTTTATGAGAGACAGGGTTTCACCATGTTGGCCAGGCTGGTCTCGAACCCCTGACCTCGTGATCCACGCACCTTGGCCTCCCAAAGTGCTGGGATTACAGGCATGAGCCACTGCGCCCAGCCCATAATTCTTATCTGTAAATAAGACTTCTCTAAATGTTTGCCTGAAAGGATTCCTTATTTAATAGAAGACACTGGCAATATAAATTATGTATCCAACTCCTTACTATTTTGCCAAAAATGACTCTATGATTAACGTTATAAGAATCAACTATTAAAAAAAGCATTAAGAAATAACTCTTTTTGTCAATTCCAAAATTGAGTATGTTCACAGAAAAAACATCCAATGGAAACCTCATTATCTTTATATTAAGAATAGATCCTTTGCATATCAGATTGGAGACAACACGTTTTTTTTTTTGTCCTTGAGATGGAGTTTCGCTCTTATTGTCCAGGCTGGAGTGCAATGGTGCGATCTCGGCTCACTGCAACTTTCGCCTCTGGGGTCAGGTGATTCTCCTGCCTCAGCATTCTGAGTAGCTGGGATTACAGGCATGTGCCACCATGTCCGGCTAATTTTTGCATTTTTAGTAGAGACAGGGTTTCTCCATGTTGGTCAGGCAGGTCTCTAACTCCCGGCTTCAGGTGATCCAGCCACCGAAGTCTCCCAAAGTGCTGGGAGTACAGGAGTGAGCCATGGTGCCCGGCCCTACACTTTTAAATCTAGATAAAGGGCCGAGCGTGGTGCCACACGCCTGTAATCCCAACACTTTGGGAGGCAGAGGAGGGCGGGTCACATGAAGTTGCAAGTTTGAGACCAGCCTGGCCAAGATGGTGAAACCTCGTCTCTACTAAAAATACAAATATTAGCTGGGCATGGTGGCCACACGTCCGTAATCCCAGCTACTCTGGAGGCTGACGCACGAGAATCTCTTGAACCCGGGAGGTGGAGGCTGCAGTGAGCCAAGATCACACCACTGCACTCCAGTCTAGCGAAAGCATGAGACTCTGTCTCAAGAAAATAAAAAATAAAAAAAACTAGTTAAATAATAATCACCATCCTCGTACTCTATTTCACACATATTTTACATCTACTAATCAAATTCAATAAAGGGGAAATAGCAATACCGTGAAAAACAGAATTCTAATTGTTTCTTCAGACATTCTTTTAGGTCTTCTGTAGAAATTGCTGAATTGCTTTCTCCTGATGGTAGAAAAGGAGGGAAAAAAAGTTAATACCATGTTAGCAGACGTGATAAATCTGACATACTGTTGTACTCAGAAGCCACAAAGTATCTACAATCAAAATTCACCACAAAGCTATTGTTTGAGAGAACCAGGGTCTCCCTTTGTTGCCCAGGCTAGAGTACAGTGGTGCGATCACAGCTTAGTACAGCCTCAACCTCCTGGGCTCAAATGATCCTCCCACTACAGCTTCTTGAGTAGCTAGGACCACAAACTTGTGCCACGATACCCAGCTAATTTTTTATTTTTATTTTTTTGTAGAGACAGGCTCTCATTATGTTGCCTGGACTGTTCTCAAACTCCTGGGCTCAAGCAATCCTCCTACCTTGGCCACAGGCGTAAGCCACTGTGCCTGGCCCAAACTGTATTTTTTATTATTTTTATAACTTGGATAGTTCAAAGTCTAACTAATTTCTCTCAACTTAGATATTCTTTCATCAGATACATTTCATATTAGTTTAAGAGTTATTTTTATCAAAAAATTAACAAAGCACAATACTAAAAGCACTTAAAGGCCGGGCATGGTGGCTCACGCCTGTAATCCCAGCACTTTGGGAGGCCAAGGAAGGTGGATTACTTGAGGTCAGGGATTGAGACCGGCCTGACCAATGTGGTGGAACCCCATCATTACTAAAAATACAAAATTAGTCGGGTGTGGTGGTGCGTGCCTGCAATCCCAGTGAGCCGAGATCACGCCACTGCACTCCGGCCTGGGCGACAGAGCGAGACTCCCTCTCAGTAACAATAAAAAACACCACCACCACACCACCACGGCTGGGCGCAGTGGTGACGCCTGTAATCCCAACACTTTGGGAGGCCAAGGTGGGTGGATCACGAGGTCAGGAGATCGAGACCATCCTGGCTAACATGGTGAAACCCTGTCTCTACTAAAAAAAAAAAAATACAAAAAATCAGCCGGGCATGGCGGTGCGCGTTTGTAGTCTCAGCTACTCAGGAGGCTGAGGCAGAAGAATGGCGTGAACCCGGGAGGCAGAGCTTGCAGTGAGCCGAGATCGCCCCACCGTACTCCAGCCTAGGTGACAGAGCGCGACTCCGTCTCAAAAAACAACAACAAAAAAAAACACCAACTGCTTGCCATATCACTTTAACTCTATGTTCAAAGTCGGCAGTTGTTTCTATATAGATACGTAAAAATTATTTTCTGACACAGTTTCACTCTGTCACCCAGGCTGGAGTACAGTGGCATGATCTTGGGATTACAGGTGCATGCCACCACGCCCAGCTAATTTTTTTTTTTTTTTTCAGTATAAGACAATGTTTCACCATGTTGACCAGGCTAGTTTCGAACCCCCGACCTCAAGAGATCTGCCCGCCTCTGCCTCCTAAAGTGCTGGGATTACAGGTGTGAGCCACCCTGCCTTTTTTCCTGTTATCTTTAATTTCACACTTTCCTTTAATAGAACCCTCATAAACAATCTTTTAACATTACAAATGTCATGTTATCTGAAAACAATGTAACAATCAACTAACATTTCATTAACATAACCTTCTTTTCAAATAAGAAAATAATGCCAAAGGTTTATCAGAACAAGGATGAAGAAACCATGGGTGGGGGGGTGTCCTGTACTGAATTCCCATTTTAACAATAAAACCATAAACTTTACCGGAAACATCATATATTTGGTAACTCAGATCTTCTGGTCCTAAAATCATCCCATCAGTTGATTCTTCAATGCCTGTAGTATTTCTTGTGGTTTCACAAGACGAAGAATACATTACTTCATATTCTTTACATGTATCTTCTGAGAGCTCTGCATTACCTGTATTAAAGAGAGACACTGAAAATAAATGGGAATTATTTAAATTCTATTTTCAGGAACCCTGGTCAGTATGTCACCTATAAAAAGATTTTAAGGTATTCTACCAGTTCGGAGTATGTCCACATGGTTTTAAGCAAGAGTTATCATTCCAAGGGAGAAAGTTTTGACAATTACGGATAAACTAAAATGATTAACAATTGCTAAAACGTATATAGCATTATCTATGTATCAGACTACTCCAATTCACTTTATTCATTTAATTATCAGAAAATCCTGTGCTGTAATTAAGATTGCTTCTGTTTTACAGATGGAGGAAAAAAGCATAGAGAAATTAAGTTATTCGCCCAAGGTCGAACAGTGAGTAAATAGCAGAGTCAATGATGGTAGATAAAAACTAATTTATAAATATCATTATTATAGACGGGTTGCATGCTGGACCCAAAGACACAGCTACTACTTGAAATCAATGGCAATCTATTCATGTTAGGTATAAATGAGAATTATACACAAACCACATGTTAAACATAAATCCTGGATGCAGTATGTTTAAAGGAAAAACAAATTGATAAATATACTTAATCAAATAAACAAAGGATATATCCTGGCCAGGAATGGTGGCCCACACCTGTAATCCCAGCACTTTGGGAGGCCGAGGTGGGTGGATCACTTGAGGTCAGGAGTTCGAGACCAGCCTGGCCAACATGGTGAAACTCCATCTCTACTAAAAATACAAAAGTTCAGCCGGGCATGGTGGCTCACGCCTTTAATCCCAGCACTTTGGGAGGCCGAGGTAGGCGGATCACCTGAGGTCAGGAGTTCGAGACTGGCCTGGACAACATGGTAAAACTCCGCCTCTACTAAAAATACAAAAATTAGCCGGGTGTGGTAACCAGATGTGGGATTACAGGCATGAGACAAAGCCGGGCGCCTGTAATCCCAGCTACTCAGGAGGCTGAGGCAGGAGAATTGCTTGAACCTGGTGAGGCGGAGGTTGCAGTGAGCAAAGATCGTGCCACTGTACTCCAGCCTGGGTGACAGAGTGAGACTCTGTCTCAAAAAAAAAAAAAGGCCGGGGGATGTATCTCAAGTTCGGTAAACTTGCTTGGCCGTACATTTAACCAAACTGTGATTTTTATGACCAAATATTTAAGACTTACCCTCAGGATGAGCACCTGATGTAGCTGCTGTTTCATGCCAAGAGCTTTCAGTTCCATGAGTTACTGGGGTGGCATCAGTATTTCCAGGAGCAATTTCTTGCCATACTTTGGCATTAGGATTTAAACCAGTTCCTTTAGATGTTACCTGCTAAATAATTGAAAGATCTATTTGTAAATTTTTAAAATCAGAGCATGAAAATTACAGATTTAGATAAAATCGCTTTTCCATTACTTAAAAGCGGGAGAGAAACCCAATAATTACATTTAACAAATAATAAATAATACTAAAGTTTGTGATCAACTTGAAAATTTGAAATATCTATGTAAAAGTTAGCTTCCTATATAATAAAAAATAGGTATTTCTAAATATTAAAACAGAAATACTGCCCAGGTGCAATGGCTCACACCTGTAATCCCAGCACTTTGGGAGGCTGAGGCAGGAGAATCACATGAGCCCAGGAAGTTCGAGGCTACAGTGAGCTGTAAACACACCATCACACTCCAGCCTAGGTGACAGAGGAGACCCTGTCTCAGAAAAATAAATAAAAGAGAAATATTGCTTTACCCCAACCTACTTGCAAATGTCACAAAATTTAAAATATTTACGTAACTTTTGAGACACTTGTGTATTTTTGCATCTACAGCAAATTTCTTAGTTATCTAATTTTCCAGAATATTATATATATTTATATTATAAAATATAAATATTTTATTGCCATCTAAGCTGTGACAGAGACTTTAGAGTCTGAACAATTCTATAACTAGAAATTTTATCCCGAGTTAAAAGTAGTGATATGCTTTATATTGGAATTTTTTTTCCATCTGTCCTGCAAGTGTATGTTCTTAATGTCCACAGCATGACTATTTTAAATAGTGCCATTTAAGGTAATCTCTTGAGGCAGGGCACGATGGCTCATTCCTATAATCCCAGCACTTTGGGAGGCCAAGGCAGGCGGATTGCTTCAGCGCATGAGTTCGAGACCAGCCAGGGCAACAAACACGGAGAAATGCTATCTCTACAAAAAATACAAAATTAGCCGGGCGTGTTGGTGGGCACCTGTAGTCCCAGCTACTCGGGATGCTGAGATGGGAGAATGGCTTGAGCCTGGGAGAGAGGTTGCAGTGAGCTGAGTAGCTGAGTTTGCACCACTGCACTTCAGCCTGGAGACAGAGTGAGACTCCGTCTCAAAAAAGAAAACACACACACACACACACACACTCACTCGCTCACACATACACACCAAACATAATGCCCTGTTCCATGCCTAGGTTCATCCATATCTTGAGAGCAGGGTCTGCGCCTTGAAATGGTGGTAGTAGTGAGAAGTATTTTATCACTTACACGCTTTAGAATTTCCAAGTGTAGGATAACAAGCGTATACCTTTCAGTCATTTTTATTATTATTTCAAAATTCTCTACAGAAAATACATCTGTTTTGTACCCACAGGAGAGTAGTACTCTCCCACTGCTCTGCCTTTGGTAGCCACTGATTTGAAGCTGAGTTGACTGGTGAATGTGATGTGGGCATTTACGTATCGCATAATTTGTGTGTTGGGGAGGGGGATAATCTATTTTAACGAAACTTGCTATTCATGTGTATGCCCTAACAAATAAACATTATAGCATAATAAAAGGTACAACTAAGCACTGTGGACTGGAGGTGGGATGCCTACCCAGCAGCAAGCCCACCCTCATGTGCCATCTGAGGACCTGCAGAAAGGACAGTCGGAAGGAGACAGCAGCCTCAGCCCAGAGATCTCCCTATCCTCCTCCCTCAGGGGAGGAGGATCCTGACATTTGATCCTGACATTCAACCCTTCATGTCCTCCTTGGTCAGGAAGATGGTTGGGTACAGTGGGTGGAGGTGAGGAGAAGGAGGTACAGAAGGGGACGCAATATGCGAGTAGAGAGATACTAGAGAAGGGCAAACGAGGGTGGGTAACAATGGAATTAAACAGAAGAAAGAAGCTTCTATTTGTAACCCTGGAATCCGGCAGGGGAAGGAGGAGGAAATGGGCAAGGGAAGGTGGTAAAGAGAAGCTGAGGAGAAGGCAACTCACTTATTTCTCCCTGCCTCTGCTGAACAGTTCCACTCCTTTATGTTAATCCCATTCTGAGACAGGCCCAGAGAGGTTCCAGTGACAAACTAGTAGTTTGTGTCCCGGGGCACAAATGATCTAGGAAGTAAATTGCAGAGCTGGCAGGCAAAGCTAGGGTCCACCTCAGTAAGACTCAGCTCCTGGCTCCTAGAGAGCTTTGGCACTGATGCCGTAGGTGACAATAAGAGAGATGATGAAGATGCCGAAGCCCAACTCTAAGGGTGATAAACTCAAGCTTTTTGGGTACAACATAATTTCTGACTGATAGCAGAATAGAACTCTGAGTAGCTTGTGATAGCCAAGCTCTCCTGCCATGTCAGCAGTATTTGACATTAAGCATTTTTCAATAGGAGAAAACGCATGTATTTACACACTTATTCTCTCCCTCTCTTTCCTCCATTCTGAGAATACCAGATACACGCCTACCCAAAAAGATGGCAAATGTTAAAGGTACAGCTCTCAGAAACAAACGATCAAACATTAAATCCCAATAAATACAAGGAGTACAACATTCATTTACTTACTTGAAAAGGATACAGTGAAAGGGCCATATACCTATTAGAAATACCCCTTACTCAAAGAGTTGCTATGTAGAGTAGTTATGTGACAAGATCATCATTTCAAAGTAGCTTTTTTTTTTTTTTGAGACAGTGTCTCGCTCTGTTGCCCAGCCTGGAGTGCAGTGGTGCAATCTTGGCTCACTGCAACCTCCCTGTCCTGGGTTCAAGCTATTCTGCCTCAGCCTCCTGAGTAGCTGGGATTACAAGGGCCCGGCACCATGGTGGGCAAATTTTTGTGTTTTTAGTAGAGACAAGGTTTCACCATGTTAGTCAAGTTGGCCTCAAACCCCTGACCTCAGGTAATCCACCCTCCTCGGCCTCCCAAAGTGCTGGGATTACAGGCGGGAGCCACCGCACCCGGCCTCAAGGTAGTTTAATAATCTTCATCTAAACACACAATGATTGAGATGCTGGAGTCACTCCTGAATCCAAAAACAGCTCTAATATGAACTTTTTATTATTGTGTGATCTTGGCAAAATTTCTTAACTCTTCTGAGCCTCAATTTTGTTAACTGTAAATTGAAGTAAAACAATTTTTTTTTTTTTGAGAGACGGAGTCTCGCCCTGTCGCCCAGGCTGGAGTGCAGTGGCCGGATCTCAGCTCACTGCAAGCTCCGCCTCCCTGGTCTACGCCATTCTCTTGCCTCAGCCTCCCAAGTAGCTGGGACTACAGGCGCCCGCCACCTCGCCCGGCTAGTTTTTTGTATTTTTTTAGTAGAGACGGGGTTTCACCGTGTTAGCCAGGCTGGTCTCAATCTCCTGACGTCGTGATCCGCCCGTCTCGGCCTCCCAAAGTGCTGGGATTACAGGCTTGAGCCACCGTGCCCGGCCCGAGGTAAAACATTTTTATTTTTATTTTTACTATTTTTATAGACAGGGTCTACTCTGTCATCCAGGCTGGAGTACAGTGGTGTGCTCATAGCTCAGTGTAGCCTCAAACTCCGGGGTTCAAATGATGCTCTTGCCTCAACCTCCTAAGTAGCTAGGACTACAGGCCTGGAACACCATGCCCCACTAATTAAAAAAAATTTTTGGCAAAACTGGGTTTTCATTATGTTGCCCAGGCTAGTCTCAAACTCCTGGCCTCAACAGATCCTCTCAAACTCAGCCTCCCAAATCACTGGGATTACAGGCATGAGATACTACACTGGGTCAAGAAGTCCTTATTTTAAAAATTACATGGCTGGGTGCAGTGGCTCATGCCTGTAATTCCAGAACTTTGGGAGGCCAAGGCAGGTGGATCACCTGAGGTCAGGAGTTCGAGATGAGCCTGACCAACATGGTAAAACCCTGTCTCTGCTAAACAATACAAAAATTAGCTGGGTGTGGTGGCGGGCACCTGTAATCCCAGCTACTACTCAGGAGGCTGAGGCAGGAGAATCGCTTGAACCCAGGAGCTGAAGATTGCAGTAAGCCAAAAATCACGTCATTGCACCCCAGCCTGGGTGACAAGAGCAAGACTCCGTCTTAAAAAACAAAAAAAAATTACAGGCCAGGGACACTGGCTCACACCTGTTAACTCTAGCACTTTGGGAGGCTGAGGCAGGCGGATCATGAGGTCAGGAGATCGATATCAGCCTGGCCAATATGGCAAAAATCCCATCTCTACCAAAAATACAAACATTAGCCAGGCGTGGTGGTGTGCACCTGTAATCTCAGCTACTCTGGAGGCTGAGGCAGGAGAATCGCCTGAACCTTGTAGGCGGAGGTTGTGGTGAGCCGAGATTATGCCACTGCACTCCAGCCTGGGTGACAGAGCAAGACTCCATCTCAAAAAAGAAAACACTGCATATACTTTTTTATAAAGCATGTCAGTTTTGAACGGAAGGCAATTCTGCTGTCTCACCCTCAAAAGTATACTACACAAACACCGATGCATTCTATCAAAATCACTGCATGAGTGAAGTTAAATGTAAACTATGATGTCATAGAAAATTAGCTTTGAAGAAACATAAAATTACAAAAGATGACTATAGCATGCTATAAAACTGAAACCTAAAAAACCTAAAAAGACTAAGAAAATAAAAATTTTTAAAAAGTATAAATGCATGGACATAAATAGGAAAATAAAGTACTATTTATATTTACTAGTTTGGCAAAGCCCCTAAGAATAATTTCCCAGCCAGGCGCCATGGCTCACGCCTGTAATCCCAACACTTTGGGAGGCTGAGGCGGGCGGATGACCTGATGTCAGGAGTTCAAGACCAGCCTGGCCAACATGACGAAACCCCATCACTACTAAACACATAAAAAAATTAGCCAAGCATGGTGGCAGGATTCCTCCTCGGGAGACTGAGGCGAGAGAATCGCTTGAACCCAGGAGTCAGAGGTTGCAGTGAGCCAAGACTGCCCCATGGCACTCCAGCCTGGGCGACAGAGGGGGACTCCATCTCAAAAATAATAATAATAATAATGATGATAATATAATAATTTCCCAACTGGCACAGAGTTGGCGAAAATCCTTTTATGGAGACTACATAAAATGATT